AAATATGTCAAAGATATCCTGCCAAAATAAAAGTTTGAAGTTAAGTTATTGTATGATAATAATAAATTAAATTAATAAAGTACAAGAAGTAAAAGGAATGTACGAACAGTTTTTATCATGTGTATAAAGATTGCTGTGATTCTGTCCATTAAGAGAAAATATGTTATATTGCTTCGTGTATAATTTCTTCGACAAAAAACATATCTATGAAGAAGTTCGCTCCCTATGATGTGTTCACCCCACAAACTACAAACATCTACGGCAGTGGTTTCCAAACTTTAAATAGCGGCGCCTCCGTTGCGCCCCCTTTCACATTAAAATAATTTTCGCAAGTGATAACAGCAAAATCAACATTTTCTGTACCAGTTTTTAATATTTTTTTAAAAAATGAAAAATGTTTGTAAGGGATGAATAAATGCGAGAGCAAAAAATAACTGTAAGAGCAAAGTCATATTTTTTTAGGTTATCATCGTCTCCAGCTCTTCTATTTCTTCCGTCGTTATTTTTTGGCTCTCTAGCCAAAAGGGCGCGCCCAACTGTATGGAAAACACTGATCTCGAGTAAATGCTTTGAAAGTGACGTTACAAATACGATTGACTGCATTCTTTTCATTGGTTTATATGTTAAATCTCTTGAGAAATTAGAAGAAAAAAATTAAACAGTTATAATAATAGAATTTTTACCAACCCTGAGAATACCATAAGTTTAACCAAGTTGGGATTGGTTTGGTTTATTGCACAAATATAATTTGCACTTCATAGTTAATAATAATTTCTCATCAAAAATTAGTAAATCCAGATACTGGTCAGATGCAGAGATTCACTTAAATCCTAACGAAGCCAATGCTATATAATAAGCCCACTAGAAAGTACTTAAAGCCATACATCAATACTTCTGCGTGTCGCGGGTTTGAATCCTGTCACCAAATATGCTCACCCTTTCGGCCATAGAGACGTTATGATGTGAGGGTCAATCCCACTATTCGTTGGTAAAGAGTAGCTCAAGAGTGGGTGGTGTTGACTAGCTGCCTTCTCTCTAGTCCATCACTTCAAAATTATTGACGGCTAGCGCAGATAGCCCTCGAGTTGCTTTAGAGTTTAGGCGAAACTCAACAACAAACAAACAAGTCTACTGTCATTTGATACTGATGAGGTTACTAAATGTATTTTAACAGAATATAACAATACCATAATTCAAACATAAAAAAAAATCCACAAGTCCATAATTAAAGCATGTTTATAAAACATTGTACTATGATAATTTTTTATAACTTTTATAAAATTACAGCCATATCTAATCTATTATTGCACTCGCTACAAAGAAACTTAAATAACACATGAGAAACAGTGTATAATTAACGTCAGGCTAGAAGAAAAATGTACTCTCTTTTTTTTTTTAGGGCAAACATTAGTCAGCTTCACAGAAGCTATAGTTTTACAGTGAACCAAAAGGTTTCTTTCAGAAATTTTCACATACCCAGTTTCAAAACAATCTTTTTGTCAGGTCACAGCTGGTTTGCCTCACAAAGAAAAACACGCATGCGCAAAGTGTGTATCAAAACTGGCCCCTTTGCCGATTCTGTGCCCAAGAGCTGTGTTAACGCTGCTTGAGCATAACGAGTGCTTCGTGGCTTGAGTACAACAAAACAATAACCTTCCGTATCTTGAGGATGAAACTGGTATAATCTGTTCCGAATGTATTAGCATGAGCGATTTCCGTGAGTTAGTCTACTCAGATATTGTCAATTTAGGCGTGAGGACAAGATAATTTAAGAATTTGTACTGACAACATTCTGTATCTAGAAATTTTTTCCTCTAAAAGAAAAAATCATTCTATATATTTTTAAGCTCTATATTATTCTATGTTTAAGCTTTAATAAGATAAAGGATTATAAAAGATTTAATAAAGCTAAATTCTGATAGAAGGTTTTCTTAATTTGCTGTATATTCCAGTAATTCAGAATTGGGTAGAAAATCACATAACCTGATCTCGAATTAATTTATCCAGAGATCAAATCTACTTATCAAAATTACATATATTTTAGTTCATGACCAGTGGTACTAAAAAAAAGTCGAACAACAGGCATCAGTAAGTCAATAAATGTATATCCGCTACTTTTCTGTTCCTATCAAACTCGTTAGAACTGTAATGTATATATATATATATATATATATAATTATAAATACAAGTTGAACAAATAAAAGGCCAATTTTCTATGCTATAACATAAGGATGGCCAAGTTAGCTCTAAATGTAATTTTTAACGTGTTTTTTTTTAATGTTACATAATATGTTTATATAGTTTATTTTTTGTGATTTTCATCCCTTACTTTCTGACTGTTTGTCGTTAAAATAGGCTATACGTGCTGTGACCACCACGAGTATGAAAACCCGGGTTTTAGCGGTATAGGCCCACAGACTTACAGCTGAACCAGGTGAAAATTATTTTGCTGGCCGAAATGTTGACTATGTTATATTGAATAATTTGCACTTTCGTTATTACTATTATTTTTAGATTCCAAACGAGTCATTATTTATTTATTATTAGGACAAATCACAGCAAAACGGTTAACATTAGCCATGGATCAAATGATATCAATCAAAACGAACACACTTATTATTGACGTAACTCAGAAGTCGAAATAACTAAACATAACAATAATTAACGTAGAACAGCTAGCACGTATCACTAATCTCTGTTCTGATCAACGGTATAATTATACTTTCGAAAGCTTAAACGTTTCATGGCGCGTTACGTGACGTATATGTTTCAGCATCGGAGGTAAAAGTAACTGTTTAATAGTGTTGAAATGAAACGGCTATAATAATGAAATTGCTTAATGCAAAGTCACAAACAATAAAAAACTGATTGAAACACATACACCTATCTTTATTGTTGTAAAATTTTGGTTTAACTGTATTAATTATGTTTGATGTAAGTGTAACATTTAATGAATAGTATCAACAGTATCTGAGTTTCAGTAACAATAATGATAATAAAGTACAGTATTGATAAATGCAGAGATCCCTATCTAAGTACAGGCGTATCCATACTGATAGAGAAAGTACAGAAAGACATGCAAACTTTAAGTAAAATACTGTATAGTGTGTGTCTGTTTACAATATACATTTTTCACAACTCGTGCCAAGTTTCCTATAGTGTTAACAAAATACTACTTAAATGCATAACTTATTATATTATTGTGTTATTCTAATCTTTAATTACCAAGAACATTTAATTGTCTTCAAATTTGACGGTCTTACTTTCAGAGGCGTTTCAATGATTTTTTTTTTACTGGAGGGAAGGGTATGAGGGGGCAAAAAGTTTGTTTTGGGGCAAAAAAAAAAAACTTTGTGGCAGTGGGAGTCACAATGTAGAGAATTTAAAAGGGTTGTTGTGGCATAGTCCTCCAATAGATTCTCCCTACACTCCTGTAGACACGCCCCTGCTTACTTTTGATGTCTTTCTACCCGCTTACGATGAGTGATATATTTTTGATTAAGGATAACACACGTAATATATTTTTGATTAACGGTCATATATATATATATATATATAGCTGTATGCATAAGTCATATAAACTATACTCTTTATATTTATTTCCTGTTTCACGTTTGTGAATTATGTTCCTATAGGACCTCTATTTTTTATTTAAATATATTTCTAAAGACGTATTCACATTTTAGCTGAATAATTCCCGTTTAGTTTCTATCTCCATTTGGCTCTGATATGTCTGTAGGCTATAGTGAACCGTTATACAGCGCGATATTCATATGAATGAAAGTCCAAGGAGGGTAAATGAATAAACCTTCCTCCGAGTGTTCCATTTTCATGCCAAACTTTTTGTTAATTCTGGATTAATTCTATGAGACGGATTGAAACAGGGTTAGTATCTCTTTTCACACCTATGCATGTCGTATTAACAGTTTGTCCAATCATCGATTTTATTACGCGCTATAGGTCTAGTGAAGTGCTAATATAGTATGTATATATGAAACTTAGTTCAGTGAACTATGTCATTGTATGTAAATTAATATAAAGAAATGCGATCTTTATGGAATACTAAAACAATACTAATCACTACACCTATAACATGAACATTCGCGGGTTTTTATAACTTTGTTTGGAGTGACTTAACGACAGGTTTATGAAATGATTCTGTTTCGTTCCATGGCTGCATCATGAAAACGAAGCACACGAGGAAAATAATTATATACAAATGTAAAATTGAATCTATAAAGCTAAATACATATATATGTCAAGCAAAAGAGAAATTTGTTCGAACATTTGTACAAAATTAGAACAAGTCAAATTTAAATAAATCGAAGCTTAAGTGAACTGATGGGATGACTTTAACTTATCTTTAGCC